TCTGGGGAACCCCTAGTTGCCTCAGAGCCAACGTGATAGATCACGGCAAACAACATACACTCCCTTTCTTTCAGGCGTTTGCGACTCCGACGTAACAACCCTGATTCAATTTCTAGGTCGACAGGGAATATAATCGCCTTGATGATCCTAGTACAGCCGTCTGGTTTGAAATCGGAGGATTTCAGGTTCAGAATGCAGAAGGAGAATGACTGGCAGTACATCCGACAATTGCTGCCACGCATATACCACTTTGTTTGTCTTAGGATCCCGGAATTTTAATTACTGGAAATTAGAGCATCACTCAAAATTTGAACTATTAACAGATATCTCATATGAATTGTTCCAAATATTGATCATTTCCACGAATACGACGAAAAAATATTTTGTTCTTCCTTGTATTGAGTAAGTCAAAGCCGTCTTGCGTTCAGACTGAACAACTTTGTACTGATATGAGTTTGCTTGGATCCATCTTTTTGTCATATATAAGCATTTTTGTTACCGTGAATATGATGAAAATGGTTGAACAATTTCAACGACATACTCGTTAATCGTTTCAGGGTTCACTGATGCTTCAAATTACTCAAATTCAAAGTTTGTCGAAACCATGTGAGTAATTTGAGTAATTGAGTTCTATAGAGAGTACCATCTTCTAGTGAACAAGTTATGCAATCCAAATTTCATATTCAAACTCCTTCCGTTCCATTTGCGTAGAAGTTCTAGATGTTCATTTATGAAAAAATCAATGTTCTACGCTCATGGATTAATATTCATCATAATCATGATATAGGTTTTATTGCCCAATGAAGCTATACCGATGTATCAAATTTGAGTTATATCTCATGAGACGTCTCGAAGTTATGAATCAAGAACGATTCCATATTGTAACTTCAGGAACATCTAGCGCTCAAACTGAGCAACTTTATACTTCATCATTCCAGATTCTTTTGGGATTTTCTCTCCTCGTCTCTATGGAATAAAAATATGAATACTATTTCAATATACGGGTAGTGAGGACAAATCGGATGATTTGCCCCAAAATGTCACTGCGTTTAAAGAATTTTCCTATCAGAGAGCCTGAAAGAAAAATAGGTTTGGAAAAGAGAAATGAAGGTATATCGAAAGTATATCAAATTTTCACTTATCTTTGGACGCTTCGGGAACGAATGTGCTCCCGTTTTCAACATAAAAAATGGATTTTTTGTATGGTGAATTCCAGTTCTCAGTGACAATTGGTGACGTTGGTGATCAAATGTACCACCTCCTCGATTAACCTTTAGACAGTATTCAACTTCATACTTATCAGTTTATTTCCTCTAATCTGATTTCTTGGTCTGAGGAGTCTTCGATACGGTTTTTTGAGTTGTCCTCTAGAGATACCCTGTATATTTATCGATAAAATAACTGACTGGTTCTTCATCTTATATCTTGGACGGACTTAGTGAATAATAGATTAAACAGGGATCTGCGGAATAAATAAACCTCAACCATAGTTTCATCCGCTATCAACGATTATTTCAAATAGGTAATATTTTCCATTTGTCATATCTGCATAATAGAATAGGAGTTATTAGTATGCAAATTCACAGGCCGCAAATTTACAGGCCGCAAATTTACAGGCCGCAAACTCTATCAATATTTTCCCCATCACATTAACAGTGATTTATATATCCTCATTATAACACACACTCAACACATGATAAATATTCCGTAACTGCATGATTGAGGTGAATTTTGAAATATGACGAATGCATTTCATAGTATATTCGTATATGATTTGCAGCTTTTTCTTGGGGTTTGGATTCGGTTTCATAAATAATTCGAGGATTAAGTAGAAAAAAACGTTTCGCCCATGGCCATGAGCTTTGTCAATTTATTAATATTTTTTGGCACTGTAAAATAATGGTTTACACTGTAGGGTGATGGTGATGAGACATGAAACTAAAGAAAAGAGAGATACGTACCTCAACCAATTCATGATTCACAGCGATTGTGGTACTCTTGTGAATATTTTTTATTTAATATTTAAACATATTGTTCTTTTTTATTTTCCTTTCTTTTTTCTTTTGGAAAGAGTTGAACATTTTTGTTGCATCGTTTTATGTGCGATAGAAAAACGAGGGAAACTACAAACTGTTGAGGTTAATTTGGAACTGTTGATCGCATGACTATGTAAAGGACATTTGACTGACATTAGGGAAAGATGACAAGAATGACATGGAACAATTATAGAGACATATGTCAGGTAGGAGTTTTCTTCTTCTTTTTTGTTGTTCTTTTAACATTGACAATACACAGTGTTTTATAAATCTTGGCCGGTGTGAATGCAGTAGTGAAAAATTGGAATTGAAATAGTGGAACTTGTGGTTATAGAATAGTCTGATAGATACTGCTTAGATCACTGATATCTGTTCTGTCGTTCATCGAGTTAGTGTCTTTTTTAATATATATAATTTCTTTTATGCATGTCTTGTAGTAGTTACTTTCATTATCAAGAATTTTGACATTGTTAAAGGAAGTGGTATGGTCATTATCCATTAGATGTTTAGTTAGAGCTGTTGGGTTTTGTTTGTTGTAGCGATGTCCTTTCAATCTGTTTTCTAAGTATTGTGTTGTCATGCCAATATACGTTTTATTGCAATCATTGCATGGAATGGAATATATAAGAATCTATAATTGTTCCATGTCATTCTTGTCATCTTTCTCTAATGTCAGTCAAATGTCCTTTACATAGTCATGCGATCAACAGTTCCAAATCAACCTCAACAGTTTGTAGTTTCCCTCGTTTTTCTATCGCACATAAAACGATGCAACAAAAATGTTCAACTCTTTCCAAAAGAAAAAAGAAAGAAAAATAAAAAAGAACAATATGTTTAAATATTAAATAAAAAATATTCACAAGAGTACCACAATCGCTGTGAATCATGAATTGGTTGAGGTACGTATCTCTCTTTTCTTCAGTTTCATGTGATGTCATCACCATCACCCTACCGTGTAAAACATTATTTTACAGTGCCAAAAAATATTAATAAATTGACAAAGCCCATGGCCATGGGCGAAACAGTTTTTTCTACTTATTCCTCGAATCATTTATGAAACCGAATCCAAACCCCAAGAAAAAGCTGCAAATCAAAAACATAACAGGATTCAAGAAAATCCCTCAACAAACATATATTCGTATAGTTTGATTGCAGTTCCAGGACTGATGTATGTCCTTCAGTCTCTCCAAACGGAACTGAGGTAACCCATCTTGGGACTGAGGGGAGCCGTTGTTGAGTTCATTATTTCAATGCAAATTGATTTTTACCAATTTGAAGAAGATAACGGTAATAAACCACTAGCTTATACCTATTTTGATTTCGGGTAGATACTATGTAATGCCCCCAACTTTCTTCGTTCGTTGGCCAACTACAGGGGGTCGTTACAAAGTAATTTTTCCTCGATCAATGGGTTCGTTGATTATTGAGGCAGGAGGCAGACTGAGATTGTAGACATTAAGACAACATATAGATAGTTACTGAGACATATATTCAGGCAGTATGGTCAGGCAGAGGTTACAGGCAACAAAATCAAAGTTTGCTTACATTTTAGATTGCACATTTTTGTTACACTGTTCACTTGTTTTTTAATTGGCGAGAGATTCACTTCACCTTTACGTCTTAGTCACAAAAGTTGCAGTTTACAATAAATCTACCTGAGTGGTTATTCACACAGGTATTATTAACGAAGTTCACTGGTACTGTTCGAACGTAGCATGTTTGATAGACAGATACAAAGTCGGCTGGATACGTTTTGTATTGAGTCACGTTTGAGACTTAACATTTCACATCCTGGTCAATAGATTCAATGATTGAACTTCAATCATTCCCGAGGCTCACTAACAAAACTTTCAACTAACACAACGGAGATCGAGACATATCGTATTGGAGACTGATCAAGACTGCTTCAAGAGTAACTTCAGACTGTCTTCTCTCATTCGGATTGTTGCTACTTTTATACAGAATTTAGCAATAAATTTTCGGAGAATCAATCAAATATAAGACAAGCTCCGTGTTGTGTTTATATTAGGCAAGATTTTTCGTAGATTTTTGAGCGATAAATTACAGATGTTAGGATTAATTTGCGAAACTAAAAAGATTTCGTTGTAGTTCTGAATTGTTATGACGATAAATAATTTAAAGCTTCAAACTCATACTCTTGATGTTAATAAAACTGTCACTTACTATAGTTTTCCATTAACCCTTTTTCAAGCAATAATTCAATGTGGTTTATGATTCTCATTGATTTGTCTTGACTTCAATTTGCACAAGTGAGATGATTTCGATGTAACTCTCAATAATTCACTTCAGGAATATTAACAAAATTGACAATTACATGCTCTTTCCTTTACGAATTTGGGCTAAATAGTAATTTATTGATCTTTAGAGCCAATCAGATCAAAGTCAGTCCCTCTTTACTGAACTTATAATAAATTCTCTGCAAATTCTAATCAACGTCATTTTTGTCTCTCAATTCGATCCTGTGATATCAACCTGCTTCGTTCTTAAGTGACCAGTGAATTCGTTTTACAAAGGTAACGTAACTACTTATTCTATACATTTATTCATGCTAATGATGCTGCACTCAATTCAAAATAAACATTCGTACATTTACGTAATAATATTGCCTAGTAGACGCATGATAAAAGTTATTCTTATTTAAGACAATTATTGTTCACTGTACTTACTTAGTGCAAAGGAATTCAGAAATCCACATAATTTTGTCTAAGATACCCGTTCATTACAACTAATTCAGCCCTGATTAGGTGGTTCTCCATCAGATGCAGGAGCAAGTTGAACTTTAGCTCCTAGGAACTGAAAAGATCTTGAAGTGTTGCCTAGCTTTATACCTATGCTTGTGTCAGTATTAGAAACGTCAATTCAAGAGCTACTTCTGGTATTGAAATGAACGACTTTAGTGTCGGTTGCAGAAAAACATATATTATGCTGTTGATATTTTTTCAGATCAACGTCGAGAAGAATAGATAGTTATGCCGTCTGCAATATTATAATTCTTGTAGTCATATTCTTCTTCGGGGAAATACAAACACGTCGACCTCCATATCATTATGATCATCATCATCATCGTTTCGGCCCACCACGTAGAAACTACAGAGGAGCGGTAGTGGCGAATGGAAAAGGATGTGCAGATGTTGGAATGTGAGTAAAGCCTGAAGATAATCGATGAAGCGGGTCATAGTATCGATATTGTTCCAAGTGTAGCAGAAGTTTAACTTTATGTGCCATATTTGTTTGTATATGGACGAGCAAGCGAGTTCGCCAAATTTGCGATAGAAAATAAGCGTACGCCACCAAAGCTGTCAAACCGGCGTGTTTACTTTGTTTTCATTGGTGCACATTCGTTTTCTGTTTCTGCTTATTGGTCATATCATCGAAATAATCCGCTCAGAAGTGTTCGAGTTGCTGCCGTCAAGTGGGGCGACTCGTTATTTTCTATCGCGAACACCAAAAAAAGCTGAGAAGCGTATTTTATCGGCAACTTCGTAAGAAAAAGTTCAATTGAATCAATGTAAACGGAATCGATCATTGCTGATACCCTAAGAACGATAATTTCATGTAATTTAACATCCAAGTATGACCTTTTTTGTCAACATTATCAATTTGAAAAATGAATTGCTTTTATGTTGGAAAATGAAATCAATGCTAACCTGTTATCGTAGAATTTTCGACGAAACGCAGTTTTAAGATTCAAATGCAGATTCCGAAAGTTATGATCGTTACTAGGGATATTCAAGATTCCAAGTAGAATACATAAAATTCGAACAATATTGAAGAAATTGCGTTGAGATTGTAGATATTGTGAAATAATCAGTTGCTAGAAAAAAATGTGAACATTCGGCGTTACTGATACAATTTTTCCAATCTATGTTGATACACTCATACCACTATATTAGTAAGATGATTGAAATAAATATTATGCAATGTAATTATATCAACATTGGTGAAATATTTCAAGACAAATAATAGCAGAAGAATCCTTTGAACAAACATGGTCTAGGAACATTTCGAATCAAGGGAGTGATTCTACATGATGAAATAAGGTTTCAGATGTGCTATCTTATCTACAAGGACAGTCAAAATTATCATGACAAAAAATGGACAGGACAAAAGTAACAAAAGTTTGAGGTAGAAAAAATGCATCATGGCATACGGGTGGCACATCAAAATCTTGATATGGAGGTTTCGAGTGATATAATAGTAGATGCAGTGTAACGCTTGGGAAGATAGATTCCAATTTGACTGATGGAGACATATCCTTCTGTTATTATCATATCCCAGAGTTTGAATCAGATCAGATTGAATTGGTGACGCTTCCTGACTCAGAGAATTTCGTTTTGATGAAAAGTCAGTCACATATTACGATTCATTGACGATTTTTGGAAACAACAATATTTCTTATACACACTATAGATTTAACAGTATTAATCGTCCGACGGAAATTGATGAAACCTTTTTTTTTTTTGTAGAAAATATTGTCTATTTTATTTAGTTGTATCTAAAAGGCCTATACAAAATGCTCACATAAGGCAGAATATGAGGATCTAGTCCAATTTACCTGTTTTCCGACATATATAGTTATGATTTTGTCCATACTGAATTCGGTGAAAAAACATTTTCAGAGATACCTTTATATGAACTTTCTTCAAAATTCAGCATGTGTACCAGCCCTTCTTGTATATTGATAAAAATTACGTAGCTGTTATGGTTCTTCTACCTATTCCTTCGCCAAAAACTACTATAATGCTCATTCGGCTCCTTCGCCACATTTTGCATATTTTTTAATGTCTGTTGAGACTGTTGAGTTCCATCGAATTCAAGATAAAAAAGTGTACCACTACCTTGATATGAAGAATGAGATCTATTAAAATTATGGTCTCATCGAACCTTTTATTCATTATTCTGTTACTATCATTATCCCAATGTTGGAACTTTGAGAGAGATCAGATTGAACCAGCAATGCTTCTGACTCAGAAAATATCGTTTTTATGAGAGGTCAGTCACATTACGATTTGATGACGATTTTTTGAGACACCAATATTTTTTATATACTTTTATTTCGTATGCAAGTAGTATCTAACATGCCTATTCAAAATGCTTACATATGGCAGCAAATGAGGATCTAATCCAGTTTACTTCAGTCCAAATATTGATGTTTTTCGGAATATATAGCTATAATTATGACGACACTGAACACCTTAGAATTCGGTGGAAATACATTTTCAGAGATACTTTTATTTGAACTTCCTCTAATATTCAGCATGTGCACCAGGTGAACAACTTAGAACGGCTGTCAGTCAGCAACAAATAATGATACAAGTTCGAGATTGAATTAATCAAATAGTATGCATATCATTACACGAAGAGAAACTATATCTCAACAGACCAACGAAAACCGCAACATGATAGCTTTTCGCCAACGGAAGATATTAACTATCAAAGTTGGAAGAATGATAGATATGACAGCCGTTTTCAGTTGTTCACCCGGTACAAGCCCTTCTTGTAAATTTATAGGAATTTCGTAGCTGTTCTGATCCTTCCATTCCTCCGCCAAAACTACTATAATGCTCATATGGCTCCTTCACCAAATTTTGAATATAGATTTTTATTAACTGAAAAATAGCACTCCAAAATATCTCTTCTTTGTTCCAGTGGATATGGCATCGTAAGAAAATTGTCGAAATTTTGCGCACTTATTTCACTGGAATGTTGGCCAAATGTCAATTCACTTATTCATCATCTCATTCTATTTCAACCATAGCTAACTTGGACCAAATATTAATATTTAATTTTGCTGATATTTCGTCAAATAATATACAGGGGGTTCCATTTGAAAAAACATTTTTTTTTCACATACCCTGTATATGAAATGATAAAATCAAGCAGAGAACACATTTTCTAGGAGGAAATGACATCTCATTCAAGTACTTTTTTCCAAATTTCAAATATCTTTTTTCCTTTTCGAGATATCAGCTGTTGAAGTCGAGAAATCCATAGTCAATCACCCTGTACGTGGGGGACAGACATTTAGCTGTGGCAACTATCAATCTGTCAGCATCTTCGGGAGCTTGGACTGTGGCTATCTTTGACGCTTGCATTTCATTGCAGAGCAGCTTCACAAATCAGTCCTTGTTCCCCACATTGGCCAGGAATTTATCCTGAGGTACAGTGTTGACAGTGGTTTTGTCAAACACCACGTCTGATGATGAGTTTGCCTTGTACCTCCTTGCTCGTTCAGCAATCTTGTTCCCTTGCTGAGAAGGATCTGTAGTGTAGCCATCAAAAATCACCATCACATTGGAGCCATAGTGTCGCTGAAGGTACTTGACAAAATTTCGGAACATGCGTTCTTTTTATTTTATGAAAAAAATCATATCTCCGCAACTATCAGTCCTAGAAACAAAATTCGAAACGAAAATTCAATCTTCTACAACATTGAATGGAACTCATTTGTAGCTAAAATGCACCAAAACGAAGATATAAGCGAAAATCTGGAGGAAAAACCGATTTCTTTGGGTTTTATCAATATAGCGGAGGTCGAGGAGGAGGGAGAATTGTGCATTTCGCATTTTGAACTCTAAATAACCATCCTAGATAATATATCGTGAATTACCGGACCGTTTGTAAGGTGAACCCCCTCTATGTGTCTCAGCTTCAAAATATTTTCCGCCGACAATCGCAAGCTTGTTGCCTGCACAAACATTTTCACAGAGGTGACGTCAGGACTGCTACAGTGTAGAACTTTGGGTGGAACGAGGGATCTTACCCCGAATGTTATTTCGTCCCCTACCCCCTATTTTACTAGTTAAATTCGAAAAATTGATCTAGCTCTTTTAGGGTTTGCAATATTTTTATATATTTCAATGTCACCCTGATGTATATAATTTTTGATACGCATTTCGATGTATGCTCTCTGTTATCAGCCAAGTTTGCAATGACATGTATTATCATTGTTCTGATTACTCTCATGTACTCAATTGCATCAAAAACGTTTAAATGCGATTATAACCTTCTTTTTGTACGAATCGACTCAATGTCAGCTGTGCACACGTAGACATATTTTAGCATTCAAAAGATGCCAAAATCTGTATTTTCATAGAAAAATAGATAATTTTCTTGTTCTTCCTAGGTTTTCGATATTCTTTCATTGATTCATGATTCCAGAAACATCATGAAGAAAGGAGGAAACGCAGTTGACGTAGCAATAGCAACTCTTCTTTGCGAAGGAATCACAATGCCGAGTACGATGGGTTTGGGAGGAGGATTTTTCATGAGCATCTTCGATAAATCCAGTGGTGAAGTGATATCATTAGATGCCAGGGAAACTGCACCAGCAGATGCCTATCAAGATATGTTCTCAGGCAACTCTACATTGGCAAGAGCAGGTAATAGACTTGTTTTATTAAAAAATGTCATCATTTGAAATAACTAACCCAATGCACTCCATCTTCGGAAATGATTCTCAAAGTATGACAGAAAGTGTAAATTGAATTTCAGATCGGTAGATTGTTATTGAGGAAGCGTACTCATTCATAATTCCAGGAAATATCTACAAAGGACTGTGCTTTTATTGAAGTTAAGTAACACCTTTTAGTTTTCTTCATTGAACAGTTCGATGACTATTGTCCGAGCATCGTACCTCGGTGACATAAAACTACGACATCAATAACAAAAGTGGGAAATTACTTCAGAATGAGAATCCCAGAGATGAGAATGAGAGATGAGAATGAGTGATTATGATTATTGCACTATGAAAGAAAGCCGACAACCTTAGCCGTGGCAAGGCATTCGATCGAGTCTGGCACAACGGACTCCTCGCGAAGCTTCCGTCTTATGGCTTGCCTCCCCAGCTATGATCTCTGCTAGCTAGTTCTTTCTCAAACTGGTTTCTCCATGTAGTGGTCGACGGAGTTTCATCTGACTCTCTCATCATAAATGCTGGTGTTCCGCAAGGATCAACTCTAGCACCAACACTATTCCTACTCCATATCAACGATTCGTTGAAAGCAACTTCATGTCCAGTACACATCTTTGCGGATGATAGTACCCTCCATACCACCTTCTCTTCCAGGGCTCCAATACCAGCCAGGCAAATCAGAAACGAACGAGGAAGAAATGTTGGCAACATGAATATGGACTTGGAAATAATTCTCGAATGAGGATCCAATAACTTGGTAGATTTCAAAGCAGACAAAACACAAGCAAGCCTTTTCTCGAGGAAAGCCGATCTCACTGAGCCCAACATAAGCTTGTCAGGAGTAATCATACCTTTGAAGACATCCATTTCGATGCTTGGTATTACTATCAGCAATAACCTTTCTTGGGAAACTCACGTGGGATCAATTGCTTAATGTGCATCCCAAAAACTTGGTTTTCTGTTTCGGGCCAGGAGCTATTTCACTTCCAGTCAGCTGCTCATGATCTATAATCTATATAACCTCCAGAAATTCAAGAAAAACACCAATTCCTACCTCATTTCCTTTGGTTCTCACGATGTTCTCTGAACATTATAGGATATCCCTTTTCATGGGAACCAGAACAGAACCAGAACAAAAAAACATGTCATAGTCAACATGGGGAAACCCTCACGTCTACACATTACAGAGTACTACTATAAGTAGAAGACTCTGCTGACAGATGAAACCACCTGAATACTTGAGTGGTAACTCACCAGACCTATTCACTGAACTAAATCTCATAACTTATGAATCCAGGATGAACATAAAAACCCCAATTGTCAGCAGGAGCGAGATATTACTGTTTCGACCCACCAGGCCTCATCAGCTGATCTTGGTCTGCTGACAACTGGGACGACACCACTCAACGCTTTGGGTATATCACCCCTTTCTGAGATGCCGGATACTGCATGATGATATAGTCATGCTATTGCCATCTATAGCAGCGTTAGTCCTGAGGTAGAGCCTTGCGGCCACGTCATACATAGTATGACGCTGCGATCTTTAGGCAACATGTGGAGACCTTCATGTATAAACATTACAGAGTGCTACTACAAGTAGAAACATTGGTGACAGATGGCATACGACATTACGCTGTCATCTACAGTCAACATGTAGAGACCCTCACTTCTTGAAATCACAGAGTGTTACTACAAGTAGAACATTCTGCTGACAGATACTTGAGTGGTAACCCACCAGTCCTATTCACTGAGATAGATTTCTCAACTAAGAGATCTTGCATGAACAGAGTAGCTTCAATTGTCAGCAGAAGCGAGAACGTACTGTTTCGGCCCACCAGGCTTCATCAGCCGCTCTTGGTATACTGATGGCCATTTTAGGACTCGTTAGCCATTAGTCACAACTAGGTCTCCATATAACATAAAAAATATTCCATTTTCTAGGTGGATTGTCAGTAGCAGTTCCTGGTGAGCTACGAGGTTATTGGGAGGCTTACAACAAATATGGTGGAGGAGTACCTTGGAAAGAGCTCTTCAGGAATCCTATTAAGCAGTGCAGATTTGGTATCTACGTCAACAAATTCATAGCAAAAGTGATGGCAACCAACAGAGATATATTATATGCTGATCCTGCAATGAGGTAAATGAGTTACAGTGCGTTGGGTTTTTTCAAAAAATGATAAAAATATTGCTACAGAAACAGAAAAAAACGAGCTGTATCTAAAATACTTTGGCAAAAAACTACAGAGATATCTGAGAATCTTCAGATGAAAGAAATGTAAAAATTCATGGGGTACATATGTTTTATATGGAGTATTGTTTAGGGAGATGAATAATGAAGTCAATAATTTTCATACTATACCAGAAAAGGAGGAGCGTATTCATCATATATGAGTTTCCAGAATTTTTTGCTTGTAGGTTTTTGGCATCGATTGAAAGATCATTCTTTTTTTTGAGCATGAGCATCCATGAACTTCAGTCATAATAATCCAGGAGATACGAAATCGGTTAATTCAGTACAAAATCACGCATTGTAATGCTGAAAACCGATAGTAAAACGATGTTCATTTTATGTCAACCCATCGTTGATTTGATGGGGTGTTCTTATTCCTGTATCCTATCTCAACAAGATCTGGATCTCCAAAAGTAGGGGTTCTTTGTCTTTGGAGGCGTGTGACCCATACAATTGATTCATAGAAATAGCATCAATGAGACTGACCATTTATCTAGCTTCATATAATTGACGTATGTTCAATAATTTCAGGTCAGTTTTCATAAACAAAGTCACTAATGGTACATATAAGGAAGGCGAATACTATAGAAATATGGCTCTAGCAAAGACTTTGGACATAATTGCCAGGGAAGGAGGAGATGCTCTACACAATGGTTCTCTCACTGCAAATTTTGTCAACGACATCCAAGCAAAGAACGGAATCATCACCGTGGAAGATATGAATCAATACAGGTGAGATTCATAAACAGAAATCACAAACAGAAAGTCCGATAATGTCAAAGCATCTGATATATAGAATATCGAAACTAACTCTAATTTCATTCAGGTATGAAGGCTGGTTGTGCTAAAGGAAACTATGAATTGATTACCTTTTCTACGAGAGTTGTTGGTTTCACTAAAGAGATGAAAACATCTTCAGTTGGAATATTTGCAAATTTCACGCCACGAACCTTCATCAGATTGTTATTTTCATGAATAAATAGTAATTGATACAATCATTCCTCATTAATAATCATCTGGAATTTGCCCTATTAATAATTGAATTTCGTGAAACTTCCTATATATATATAGCGATGATGATGTTATATACCGACCAGCATCATATCTCTCATATTTCTCAACAATCAATAAAAACATAACCACACAGCAGGAATCAACTTCTGACGTAGGGGTTACTGAGAAACACGCAATACCTGGGTTGATTAGCCTGCCCAACCACCAGCAGCATCTTCGACCAAAAATTGAAAGAAATGTTTCAATAAACATGAATAGAAAAATGGCTCCTAGGGGAGCTACGGCCATCTTTAAAGGCGGCTCATGAAGATGATATTTTCATGAATAATTTCGGAACTAAATTTTCTATGTCCAATGCAATAATGATGAAATCGTCCCAAATTTCCATTCAGGAGTGTATAGTACAGGATCGGACTACATTAAATTACAAAAAAACTTAAAAAAACTTTCATGTATGCATATTCTTTGACAATTCGGACTTGTATCAAGGAAACCTACACCTACTCACGGAAAAAATGCTCTTGATTCGTATCGATCAGATTTTGTGTTTTCCTTTTACATCTCACATATTATGCATAACATTGTAAGGAATCGTAGTGCCTATGGAAAGAAAACGCCAAAATATTCAGTAGATTCTTATCTTCCTATTATACGCGCCTCTGTAAAATTGTTTGATGTTGAGAAATTAGTTGATCCTTTTGAAGCCCCAAATAATTGATAATGATTATTGGCAACGTCATCAAAATATGTGAGATATAACAATATTTTACTGCAACTTTCGAAGAACGTCACTTTTTCAATATATTTTGTGTCAATGAAGTGTACAATTTTTCAATATCAAAATACTGTTTCATTATTTCACGAAAACGTGTGAATAAAAGTTACTTTTTCAACGGTTGTTGGTAGGCGATGGAATGAATGCTTTTGTGAAAGGGGCCCATACACTGCGTTGTTGGTAGTGTAGTATCATTTTTTCATTTTGAAATTCCAGCTCTTGTTATTTATCTTGAAGTTGGTCATACTGATGAGCTGTCATGTCATTCATCATAAGTCAATGTTTCGTGCCTGTTATAATTGACAGTTTTTGGTTGACACATGACAGGTTAGGTTAGACTCATGATTTTTCCGCCATCCTTATGAAGTATTATTATAAACCGAGAGTTATTATCGAAGAAATACTCAGTTTTCCAGAAAAAAATGTTAGTTCATTTTCACAGTAGGCTGTTTTGTTCGACTCACAAGTCTGTTCGAAGATCAAAGAGGAACTACGAAAAAGGACGCAAAACCGAAGTGTGTGGCTGCAAAATGGTTGTTTTTGCTAGCCACACACCACACACTTTGATTTCGCGTCATTTTTGTTCGAACATACTTGTTCGACGAACAGAACAGCCCAACAACAACGCAGTCCATAACGGGCTCCTTCACGGGATTCAACAAAGCAGCAAGCGAACAAATCAAGGCGACCGACTTCGTCTTCCATATTGAGTGCCAGTGAAATGGAGGCGGGAGCGAAAAAAGGTGCCACGATATCCCCGCGTATTAGATGATTATATGCTCGCAATAATGTATGATTTGATCAGCATCGCTGAACGCGAGCGGGATAAGCGATTTATTCAAATTAGTCGAAGATGGCTCTGGCTATTTCGTCCTCAGGAACCAGTTGTTATCATTAGAGTGACATGAAGAAAGTAAATGTACTTGACAATACTTGCAAAATATCATTTAATCATTTACATTATAAGTTGAATGAGGTTGTCTTTTTTTTGACAGTTTCAGGAAAAATACAGGGCCCCTATAAATGATCGTAACATCGTGGAGGCTGTTGACATTTTCTTTCCATTTGCCGCTTTCTACTAATGCTGTTAACAACATTTAACGACCAAAAAGAGAGGAAGTGATCATATACAGGATCTTTTTTTATATCGTTTTGCATACACTATGGAAATGTATCTCAAAGGAAGGAGAGTCCAATATTGGAGTTTGAAATAAAATGGAACAAATCAAAAATATCCATTAAAGAAGTGATAAATAACGTTCATTTCATTAACCTACATCAAATATTCAAAATGTTCTCCGTTCTTCTCCAAGCATTTCAGAGCTCTTCGCCGTTTGTTGTCGAAAATGTTCCTCAGCATTTCCAAGCCAATATTTTGGCAGCAATGTGTTATTGAGGCGTGCAACTCTCCAAGGTTATTATTGCCTCTCTTGAATACTTCGTCTTTCAAATATCCAAAAAGGCAGGAATCAAAAGGCGTCGAATCTGGAGAACGTGTTGGAAAAGAAGCATTAACTCCTCGACTCATCACACGGTTGTTATAAAATTCTTGTAAATATTTTAAATTTGCACGTGTGGTGTGGGCAGTGGCCCTATCTTGCTGAAAATAACCAACTCGAATTTCTTCATCATCAAGTTGATTGATGAATGGTTCTAACATCACTTGTTTGTATCTTCCACCATTGATAGTGTCATCGAAAAAAATCGGTCCATATATTCGCCTACGAGGAACTGCTAACCACACCCCAATTTTTTTAGGAATGTAGCGGGGATTCTCAGATCTCCAAAACCTAAAATTTGGTGAGTTCACGTATCCCGACAAATGATCGCTGAAAAATGTTAGGTCCAATAGCTGGTCATCGTTGAGATTATTTTGGAGCCATTGGCAGTACTCCAGACGACGTGGGATATGTATTGGCAGAAGTTGCTGTAGTACCCTGATCTTGTAGGGGTGCATATGCAATCTTTTCTTGAGCACTTCATGGCATAACGTTTGGGGATGTTGCTCAACACGCGCCCTTAGATTTTCGACAACTTCTTTCGATATTTGAGGCCTCCCTGTTGATTTCTTTTTTAACGTTTCCAGTTGGATGAATCTGTTGATCACTGTTCTGATGTGGGCTTTCAAAGAAGATTCTTGAATCTGTACATAAGGATATTTCGCCAGGTACTCATCCTTGCAGGCTACTACCGAGTAACTCCATCCACCATTGATGACTGTGCCATTTCGACAATAAGACATTACAATAAATGTATTCTGCTCCGAGGAATGAGCCATCCCTCTTTTCATCACGACAATCACGAAGTAGAAAACAAAATCGTTTGAAAATTTCAACAAAAAACTGACGATTGTGAGTTTATCAGCTATGACAGTATAACGGCAACTACGATGTTACGATCATTTATAGAAACCCTGTATGTTATGTAACACGACTATTCTTGGTTTTTGCGTGAGCCGTTGCTTAGTAATTATATAAAACAACCTGTATTTATAAAGTGAGGACGTTCACGACAAACACAAGTTCATACAGTGTATTACAATTTGGCCCACGACCCCACTACTGTACTCTCGTATTTCTAGGACGATTTGAAATTTGTTTCCTCATAATATATTCACTACTCAAAATTATCTACTTTTTCGAGCAAACAAGCTTCTTCAATCCCAATTTCTTAGCCAACTGTGATCACAAAAACTCCAGTAAACTTATAGAATACATATCTGGCATTTTTTTTTTACAAAAATTCTGATTAAGGCAATCGATCCGGACTATACACAAATACTCCTATATCTATTCTCATTACAAGATTTCATATCTCTCATCGACGTAACAATTCCTGAATAATTGCATTTTTCAAGTCTTAGAATTTGAATGATATAATTATGTATATCAGGCATGATGGTAGTCAGAATTGAATCATCTGGTTACAAAGTGAGATGAATAACGAATAAAATAAGTAGAGGACAAGACAAAACAGCATTTATTTCTAACAAGTTCAGATTTCTGAATTTCCGTTCAAATATTCTCCATGCCCTGTACACTTTTCATGAATATGTATATCACTTTTCGCACATCATTTTCAACTCTTCTGCAAGGTTTACAAATTCAGGCCAAAAAAAAAAGAGAAGAGTTGCACCAGAGAATAATAATTTGAGAGTTTACAGAGAGACACCAATTGAGAAACTGGGGAGAGTTGAAGATTCAAATCCTCATAAGAATCATTATGAAAGGTGACTTGAAAAATACGGTTATCTAAAAATTGTGAAGTTGATCAAAAACCCTCCTTATGAGAAATTGTTTCAAAAATTGATATAGGAGTATGTGTGACTAGCCCGAATCGTTTTCCACCATCAAAATTCTTGTGAAAAATGTATTATCTGTCTCTTTAACTGGAGTTTTTGTGATCGCAGTGAGAAGAAATTGTGATTGCAATCTTTATTTGTTTTACGAAGTCGATAGTTTTGAGTAGTATATTATGAGGAAAAAATCCAAATTGCCCCAGGGATACAAAAGTACAGGGGTGGAGTAAACTAAATTGTAACACACTGTATAAAGCTTTGTTCTTGAATTGGGTCCAACAAGTCCAAGAACCGCCTATTAGCAAAATTCATTGTTGGATGTTGTTTTTCAGTCCCAAATGGAAAAATCCAATAGAAACAACTCTATTCAATGGGATCAGTATGTATTCGTTTCCTTTACCAGGATCTGGTCCAATAGTATCCTACATTATGAACATTCTGGACGGTTTTTTGGATTCTTCCAATCACACATCTGTAACGAATTACCAGAGACTAGTGGAGAGTCTGAAATTTGGGTATGGTGCAAGGACGCAGTTGGGTGATGACGATTTCGTGGATTTGGATGAGGTATTGACTCATTTTTTTCATAGAAATATATCATGAATCATACATAACCATTCATTTCAGTCAGCTTCATAACAAGAAGTTTGATTAAACTACACGACATTGATCGATAATGGCCCCTATCAACGATCAATTTGTCGTTGGGATTATGAATTATGAAATTTGCATCCTAATCGTGAATATGGATTTCATCAAAGACTTTACGTTAACGGGTTAGCTCGTTAAAGTTTCCGATGATATGGTATTCCAATATTGGCTCACTGAGGGTTTGGGAATATACATGAAATAAGTCCAAAATATTCCTGTACCTACTAATCAGAATGTTTTATTTGGAGCAAGAGTTTTCATTTCTCTAGAGAAAAATGAATTCTTTCATCTTTTCATTTAGGGTCATAATCATAATGCTCTTGCTTGAATTAGGTGAGAAAGGTCGAATATTGTTCTGTTGATTTTGACGGTCTCAAGTAGTGACTTCTGGTTTCTTCTCCTAAATGGAATCATATTGTCATCATCTTGATCAAGAATAGTTACATTTTTCATGTAGAAACCTCTTTGAGTGGAAGGTCATTAGACATAATTTCTATTAGACAATTCTCAACACAAAAAATCCTCCATTGCAGTATCTCAATCAGTTGATACTTCAGAGCTACGCTGAGGAAACCAGAGGAAGAATTTTCGACAATATCACTTTCCAAGATCCAGAATATTATGGAGCCTATTCTGGAAATGTAGAGGACCATGGTACATCACATATTTGTGTTCTGGCCCAGAATGGAGATGCCGTTTCAGTTACTAGTTCTATCAATTATGTGTGAGTATATGGAATATGCATGCAATATTGGTTTTGTTTTTGTACTACGAAGTGCAAAGCATGTCAGGGCCAAATTGAATTGATATAATGATAATGTTTGATACTTTGTGCAAAGCTAGCGTACTCTTAGTAGATGTGAGAGGCAGCACTCAAGCCAATGTAATAATTACAAGATATTCAGAACATCAAATTTCTAGTTGGTTCAGAACTGTTCTAATGACTTCCAATTATCTGTAGCAAAGTAGGAAATCACCAACTTATGCGTTAGGAGTGTAGATAATATAGGTACCAAATTTGGTCAAACAATGATATATTGATATTTTAAATTCACTTCACAGTCACCAATTCAGAATCTGATATTATGAATTCTGAAATTAACCTAGTTTTTCACGTTTGGCTAAATTGTGCTCTAACGACCCCATAAAAACAACGATAAAAATATTATCTTTCTTGTGAAAAGTAAAAAAATTTCAACATAAATATGTTATCATATCATTCGACCATGAGGAGAAGAGATTTAGGTTTGTTCTACCCTCACACGTAACCTTGTGGTGGTCAGTAATTCAGCTATAAAGATGAAATATGACATGAATGATTTGTATATTGATATATTCACATTTATCAGGTGTGCCAATAATAGCCGATATGTATAATTTTGCAAATATTCTTTCGAGTCTTCTTTGGAAGACGAATAAACACTCAGGTATACACTCTCCACTTCGATATTACATTATTTTGACAGAACAATAAGTTTGTTGATTTTGAATCATTAGAAATCAACAAAGTTAAAAATTCTGACATTAAACTTAACGATCAATTATACCTCAATAGTTCACCACTGTTGAATTTGTTCTCTTAGTAGGTAATAATATGTATTTGCTATCAACCATTTCAAGTTAATCCAGTACACCGTATCTTAATGTAGATATTGTGCCTAATTTTCGAACCTGTCCACAGCTAACTAATCGTTTTTCATTTGCAGCCTCATTCTTTGCTATGAGGTATATGTTGCATAGATATTAACTGTCTTCAAACTGTTTCTATAATTATTATATATCAATCAATCAATCGACTTTATTATTGCCAAGAAACAACATTTGTTTATAGCAGAGAAAATGGTGAATATATTGTCACGAGTAGAACATACGGTATATCAGTTATTTCGAACCATGAGGGTTTTATAAACATAAAGTAGGTAAATCAAATCATCCGTTGACATTGAATTATAAAAACTGACCAAGGAACTCTCATGAGAAACGTGCATTTCTAATAAAATGATGTATATAAATATTGGATGTGAGGGTTCCGAAGTTAGTCTGGTCTGGGGCTACTCTCGACTTGACAAGAGCTCGTCGTTATGGTATCTATAATGTAAGTTGTCATTAGGTCTTTATATTCATTGTTGTTTATTCATATTTGTCATCAATTCACCCATAATGTTTCATGCTGTAATAAATATTGTTATGTTTGAATATAATCTCATACTTCCAGATACCCCTAAACTATTAGTGCCTATTCGAATATTACCTCTCGCAAAAGCCAAGCATAAACCCCTTTAATATGTGACTAATATAAATCGATATGGTGGAAACAACTCTACTATATCGTAACATGGTGGAAACCACCTATTTTATAGTGACATGGTGGGAACACAACTATTTTGTTGTAACATTACCTCTCACACAACTCGTTTGTTGTGACAATATGAATATATTCGACAAAATAAAAAAGACAGTGAAATAAGGATCACACGCAAGAAGAACATTTTTTTTTTCAAGTTCAACTGAAAATGATACTCAATTGACTCAGCTGTTAGGTACCCAATGGAAAACTTTAGTAATTTCCCGAGAGAACTAATAAAAATGAGATAAAATGTCGGTATCACAGGAGTAGATGTTTCTTGAATTCCTTCTTGAATTTCTCAATCCTATAAATCAGTTACAAGTTATTTGGTAGTGAATCATATTGTATCATTCCATTGTGATAGATGGATTTTTTACCAATATCTGATTAAATTTTCTTGAGAGAAGAATTATCTGCTCGTCTAGTTGTATAATCATGGTGACTACTATCAATTAGAAGAACCAGATTTGAATGCTTTCGACAATATTCAACTGAATGAATGATAATAATTTGAATCCATATAGTGAATCTATATCTAATAAATCTCTTTTCCTGTGAAGGTTCTTAGTAGGATCCAAATAATTTAGTCTGTATTCACATTTGATAACTTTATTATAATGAGTTTTGAGAGGCTCCATATTAAGATATCATATTTGAATATAAACCCTTCATTTATGATATTTCTAATGGGTCGCTTTGCTCGAATGACATCGATTATTATTTGTTGCCATTCTCAACAACCATCAATCTGGATTCTAGTATACTGTAGTTTTCTTTGAACAAACATGAATATTCCTCATTTATACGAAGCCTATCTCGTTGGTTATAATCCGTCTGCCAAATATTTGAGATTGAGATATGTGAATCCATAGGGTGGAAATGGAGGAATTCGTTAGAGTTAAATTATCCCGATATTCAAGTGAGTCGATGATCGGTTGACTGGATACGAATAATTTCCCAATCATACCCTAGCCTGATTCAATTATACCGATTTCATTATCAAGTGGTCGGAATAATTGATTCATCATGTTGAAATGTACAATGGAAAACGATACTGATGGATAATACCCAGACTGAGTGAAGAATGAAGTTACGTTTTCGGAGAAAACCAAATTTAGAAAATCATAAATTGAAGAATTTGATATAAATGCAGGAATATTTATTATCCTGATTGAACTGTGATTATTGTCAGCTCAAAGTGGAGTAAAATATTTTGAATGGAAGGAGAAGAGCCCAAAGTTATATGTACACATATATAGTGTGTGAGCGATTTCAAATCGCAAAACCTTCTTAATTAGAAAACCCGTTGACCGATTTTCGAGAAAAAAAATTCCACAATGTAGTACTAAAAGAGCTTCCTTCGAAAATGTGGACACATTTGGAATATATACAGTCTCAAGGCTTCCTATTGTTTAAATGTCAAAAACGACCATCAGGCTTTTTTTTAACAAGTGTATTGCCTATTCGATTCGATAACCAATAACTCATATAGGGGGTTAGCTATTAATAGTAGATTTCAATATCTCTGCTTTTTGAATTCACCCTGCATTGAAATCTGAAGAATTGATATAACCAGTGAAGTGGTCATTCAATGGAGAAACACATTGAATACTTACGGAGTTGCATCTTTGTAGCTTCCACAGAAAGGTCTTTCTAGGTCAACCAAAAATAAATGAAATTGAAGTTGAAATTGTTTTCATCAGGATCCATAGGTATCCGACACAAATCATCTTCGATAATATCCTACAGAAAAAAAACCTCCAACACACACTAGCTCTGGAAAATATCCTCTCTGGAAAAGTTGCTCTCTGGAAAAAATCCCCATGACAAATTAACTCTAGAGGAATATTCCTCATGAATACATTTTCGGAAAGCATGTTTGTTCAGGTAGTTAACTAAAGTGAGAAATGATTCTTTCTGAGAGATAATATTTCCTGAGGACTATAATCTCTACACAGGAACTTTTGATTCTATACATGGAAATAATCAGCAATTTCAAATTTCTGTTCCAAATAATAACCTTCAATTTCGAATTGTGTCCTCTATCCCCCTGATAGCACACAACACACAACGCCCTAGGGACGTCCCTATTTGGTACAATTCAAATCCGAATATCCCGGACCAAAAATAAGTGTCCTCGGGACGTCCCATCCCATACATCTCATGCAATGTCCGAGCAAGGACGTCCACGGAATCTCCCAGCAGGTACATCATTTCAAATGTCCTAGAGATAGCATCCCTTAGACGTCCCACGTGGTAAATATTGTAGAATGTCCATGCAAGGACGTCCTTGACATGTCCCTGATGGGATATGAGTTTAAACGTTCCTTCAGGGACATCCATCGGATGTCACGAGTAGTACATATTCTGGCATGACTTCAGGTCTTATATAATGTCCCTTCTAGACAACCCTGAAATGTCCCTGATAGAACATTCCTTCAAATATCTGCACATACGCCCTTAATATTTCCAGGATCTTATAACAATCAAATGTCCCTTAGCGACATCCTTCGAATGTCCCTCAGGCATATCCATCGGATGTCCCAATTGGTACATGAACTGTACTATTCCATTGGCCCAGAAATAACGTCCTACGGACGTCCCTGTCGGTACTTACATTATGTTGTCCTTGCGAAGACGTGAACTTACACCTCGCCGACGAATGATTGCTCGTAGGCAATAAATACTCCATATCAATGTTCTTCACGTAAGTCCATTGGACATCCTTGGGAAACTTTTACAGGATCTATTGGGGACCTTCTACGGACCATCAACTCAACTGGATGTCCTCATCAGTTTTGCAAGATCTGGTCCTAGAAGGACCTACCAAAATTCAAATTCGAGAATGATTCGTACGTCCCTGGGACATCCTATGGACATACAATTGATATACCTCAGCGTTGTTGATAGGTTGTCCTATGGATGTCCTTAGGATGTCCTCCGTAGTGCTTGATGAGGAATACTATAGGATATAGGTATTTGATAGTTATCCCAGGGATATCCATCGAGGACGTCCCTAGTTGGTCCTCAGGTGGGACATATGTGCGTCCCACAGACGTCCTATGGACGTCCACGGTACCAAATTCGAACGTCCTATGGACGTCATGAATGTCCCGACAGGACGTCCTAAGGATATCCATGAGACATAATTGTGTTATTAGGGCCTCTTAGGAGAGTGATTGTACAAATTTCATGAAAATAACATCTGTAATTTTCGACAAGGTATTTACTGATTCAATGAAAATCGAACTGGCAACCCTGGTCCGCGCGGTGAGTGCGTTGACAACAACTGTCATTTGCTGTTGTCAATTTAGTTATTCACAAAATCCCATAGATTTCACGTGTGAATAGAACCGTGATGTGAATATGAGTTCAAATGTAGAATGTAATATTCACCTAGGCGAAAAACTGTCAATTGGCTCGCCTGATTGCTAACCTCGGCAAAGGTCTCAGCTATCAATTCGCAGACTCGACTTTGATAGACAGTGTTTCGTCCTTGGTACATAAATAACTATTTCCAGATTCGGAGCTAAGTTCATGTCAGAAAGCACCGGCATCATTCTGAATGACTCAATGGACGATTTCTCATTACCAGGCGAAACCAACCAGTTTGGATTACCTCCATCTCCAACGAACTACATCGTTCCTAACAAGAGACCAATGTCCTCGATGACACCAGTAATATTTTTGGATAGTAACAGAGAAGTCGTCATGATTACGGGGGGTGCAGGAGGCAGTAAAATAATATCAAATGTTATACAGGTGAGTATAGGGTGGCTGGAAATCGAGCCTCATCATGGGGAAATCGTGAACCGTAAGAGATACAGGGTCAAAGAATTTTGGGAAGAACGGAATATTCGCGATTTTATCTTTATTTTTTCATGACTCTATTTGAATAGATGTAACGAAACAAATTATACACTCTCATTGCTACTCTTTCTGTTCTACGAGATGGTGATATCAGATTTCTGAACCGACGTTTTGTCTTTGAACTATCATCATCAACTTTCCCAGGCAACCAGGTGACGTTTAAGTGACGTCCTTCAACGTCAGTTGAATGGCCAAGGCCTCATGAGTTGACGTCGTATGATGTGATTAGTGACCTGAATAAGTCACAGTCCGCTCGACATGTCGTAACAATTCGAGAAAATCCCAATTTCTTTCAATCCCAAGTACACAAGAGGACTTGATAAGGTTTTCAAAGACCTAGGTTTTGAAAGCGTTTATCGGTCTGGGTCAAAGTTAGGCAAATTATTTGGTAATCCGAAAGATGAGGAGGACACACTTGGAAAGTCAGGAATATATGAAATTTGTTGTGTCATGGAAACCATCCATTCTCAAAGTGGTCCGGTATTTTTCAACAGGAGAAAATACGAACTCAAAGTATGTCGACCACGATATTTAATATCAAGAATATAATCAGTGTAACTATAGTTTCGGCTCTACGGCCATCATCAGACACAATAAGAAAGTACCAAGAAAATAACAAGTAGTACTGGTGTTAAACAAAATGGTAGTTGAGAAAGAGATGACATACCTGTTATGTGGAAAAACATCTTGACAATAAAAATTTGTTAGTAATAATCCAGTCCAGCCTAACAATCAACGAACTTTGTAACGGCTAAAAAGCCAAATGAACATCACAATAAGTGAGTTTAACATCAGGAAAAAGGAATTAATTGGAAATCTACTCAAATGAGCTCCATTTGACTGCAATCAAACCATCCAAGGAAAGACACAGAAATGTAAACATTAAAAATGGTAATTTGACATTGACAAGACAATATTGACAATTTCAAACACAGAATGAACAATTTTTTGAATGACAATCAATCATATAAAAAATGGAGCTCGACACCCATTATTGAGTGTCTTCTGTTCAACACCTGTACTACTTGTATTACTTTCTTGGTACTTTCAAATTGTGTCTGATGATGGCCGTAGAGCCGAAACTATAGTCACACAGATTATATTTTTGATATTAAATATTGTGGTCGACCGACTCAGAGTTCGTTTTTTGTCCTGTTGAAATTAGTTGTGATGATTGTAATAAAACATATAGAGGCCAAACCAGGCGTCCCATAAAAACAAGGTTCAAAGCACATTTGGAATATGGTAGGTTAGATAAATAGCATGTAGCCGAACACATGTTCAATCATAATCATAAAACACATATTAATAACCTCAAATTAGTTAAGCAAGTAAATAATTTAAAAAAATTAGATGCGTGATAAAAGCTTACCGATATTCAAAAATAGTAATAGAGTAATGAATAAGAATAGTGGACATACCCCATTTAGCCGTCTGTCTAGTTCAGTAATATAACATGTGAACTCAGCCATGACTCACATTAACTTGGCGGTTATTGTATATCCACGGTTGGGTAGACATATACTTATAGATAGTATACCGGGTGACACAGGGTATCGGGCCACCCCTGTAACTTCTGCATTCGTCAACGGATTTTTCTGAAATTCGGTACAGTTATATAAGCAATTATTCCGGATTTGATCACATTGCAATCCAATATAACGGACTTCCGGTATTTCTGGAAATGCCAGCAACTTTGTTTTTTCAAATGAAACACCCTGTATATTTTTACATATTCAAGTTCAACAGGTCGAAACAAGTGCAATCTTCATTTCAAAAGTAATTTTTTCGAAAGAATTTAAATTAAAATTGTGTTTTCATTTTACCTCGTGGATAAATGAGATGTGGTCAAGACTATTCACAATGAGTCACACATAACAGAAGAACATAATTTTTTCTGAAAAATTATTTTTTGTGTCACTTATCCAGGAATCAATTCAGCCACATCACTTTTTGATCAAAAAATTTTTTTCTCAAATGGAACCCCTATGGGCCACCTACTCGTCTCTCTAGAACATACATCAAGGAACAAAATGACATATCATTTTTGTTTTTCGGTGCAGTAACAAATTGTATACATTCAAAAATCAACAACTAGTTTATGAATTTCCTTGCAGTTGAAATAATTTTCCAATTAGGTAGACTGTGGAATAAATGACATTTGACATCAAGATTGCACTTGTTTTGACCTGTTGAACTTGAATATGTAAAAATATACAGGGTGTTCCATTTGAAAAAACAAAATTGCTGGCATTTCCAGAAAAACCGGGAGTCCGCCATAATGGATTGTAATGTGATCAAATCCGAAATAGTTGTTTATATGACTACAGAATTTCAGAAAAATCCGTTGACGAATGCAGAAGTTACAGGGGTGGCTCGATAACCTGTGTCACCCGGTATAAGTAGCCCACTAGGATAGAGCATTTAGTTTTAATCTTCTCCTGAAGATACTAACATATTTAGCGGAATACGTGTCGAGGTGTAAAAAATTGGTTTGGTTGGCATTGAAACAGTGTGTAGTGTATCATCGTGCCAAAAGTTCCATTCTTCGATATAAATGTGAAGGATATTGGCGAGTTTAGCTTCACCTTATCAAGTAACGTGTATTAATGGATTTTTTGTCACCCAACAAAAATCTGAGCACATTTTTTACAAATTTTCTAAATAACGAAGCCGATCAAATTGGTACGTCACACAGACTTGATTTCAAGACGTCATAGAAAGGTCACTACAACGCCATAAAAGTGACGCTTCCAATAGGTACACCTATTATTATTCGTTCCTGCAAGTCCATATAAACTCTCAAGGTCAAATACTCCGTAGCGAAGTGTGATACACATTATTTCATATGATGTACTAACTCACTCTATCGGCCCTGTATGCTGATGAATAAATAGAGTTTCTTTACTCTTGAAATGGTTGGAATATATGTTTTTGAAATGCAATTTTTTCTAGAACGGTACATGATATCGATTGAAATAGATCCCACCATTTTTGTAGACAAAAGATGAAGGAATCGAACGGTGTAAGCAAGATATCAAACTTGTCACCTCTGTCAAAAATGTCTCCATTAAACAGAAAAAATCCATCCCATCCTGTATAAAACATAATCACTGAACAGCCGTTTATATTAAACTACTTACCAGATGGAGTGGGACCAACCAACCATTCACCGAACATCTGAAAAAGAATTCTACGGTTCCTCACATTTCCCAGATTATTGGGCAAAATTTTGAAATTTTTCCGGCTCTTAATTCACACTCTGTAAAGAGAACGAATCGCAAAAATGGAAAATTGACGCCAATGACGCATAGCCCAAGGACGACGCTTTCTACCTTTGGTTGAAAATCCAAAAATAAAAATCCGACGCCAATGACGCATAGCCCAAGGATGAAGCTTCCTACCTTTGGTTGGAAATCCAAGATCGGCCAAGAAATGTTCGAGTTATAGCTTATCAAAATTTGTCAATATTTCGGCTGTCCCACTTCATCTGATAAGTAGTATCGAAAGAAGCATTATTATGAGTTGATCTAGTTGTCCGAATATCATTGATACCATGGCAACCGTTTATATATTATACATGTAATATATTTTTTCATTAAAACTTTCGAGTGAATCAACATTTAACATCTGAAAAACTTATTTCCCTTGTATTATAAATAACTATCAGTTGCCAGGATTTTGGGAGCTTTCATTATAACTGAAAGGCATCAAAAATACAGAATAGCTTGAAATTCTGTCATGAAAGTGGAGTTGAGAAGAGTAACACATAGAGGAGGCTGAGTTACAGTAGTTGCCAAGAATAATATATAAAAAATCGGACACAGTGACATTGATAAGCCTGTATAGTTTCCTCCATTTTCATTGGGCTTTGCTTGGTTAATGAATTCTATTGATCTTTCATCTCTTTACTTTACCGGCACAATTATTGATATTGAATAATATAGGTGATGGTTAACCATCTGCTTTATGGAATGGATCTGAAGAGTTCGATTGATGCTATAAGACTTCACCACCAGTTGATTCCGATGATACTAACTTTTGAAAGTGAATTCATGACACAGGTGAGTAGTTTTAGTATAACTTATCACGTTAATTTGCATGGAAACAATACCAGTTCAAGACAAAACACAAATATCCAATGCCTTTTCACATGGTAAGGGATTTTTCTTGATGTCCTTCACCTCCCTACCAAATATGGCAGCCTTTTGAAAACCAATATGCCTAAACCTAATCATATTGCTGAAGTTGTTCCTCATTATAGTTTTGAATCCGTGGTGCTGAGAATTGTAATTTCTCGACACATCTACAAATAATTTGAAATATATATGCATTGTATTCCATAGCATTGGACATTGAAAAATCACGGTCAGAAGGCTGACAACATTGATACTGTTACATAATTACAACGATCAAATTCAGTTGGAATTATAAAGTATTCAACGCGTTATATAAACTTTCCATCTCTCTCATATTATGAATTTGTGGAAATGTAGAACCACTATCAAATGCTGAAATCGAACTTTGATAATTTTGAATTATGTAACATCGATATGAAGCATCGATATAATGACATAAGAGCTAGAATTTGAGCATATTGACACGTCGAAGTTAACTTCCGATCTGACCGGAATTGACATCAACTTTCTTAATTTAAATGGAAACCCTATTTTTTCTTTTCGCTTTATTCAGCGTTCAATTCCCTTTCTGATGACATATCACAAGTTGGTATCTAACCAGAAACTAGATCAGAAAAAAATTATTATTGAAATTCACCGAGTAGGCCGTGGAAGCAAAATGAAAGCCAAAAATTGAAAAGTTGGCTATGGAAAACATACGTCACTTGATAACAGTTGCTATACTACTGTGATATTCCATTTACATTCGTCAGCGTTATAAAAAGCCGCCAAAAAAAATATTGGGAAAATTGGGACAAAAACAATACCCTGTAGGTCCATAACTTAAATAGGAACATACAACTTTTTCTTGCCTGTACTATTCAGCATAACCATTCCTTTCTAATGATATATTAGATAGTAATTTTTTGGCATTCATTTTGCTTCCACGGCCTACTCGGTGAATTTCAATAATAATTTTTTTCTGATCTAGTTTCTGGTTAGATACCAACTTGTGATATGTCATTAGAAAGAGAATTGCATGCTGAATAAAGCAAAAAGAAAAAAAAATAGGGTTTCCATTTGAAATAAGAAAGTTGATGTTACTTTCGGTCAGACCGGAAGTTAACTTCGACATGTCAATATGCTCAAATTCTAGCTCTTATGTCATTATATCGACGCTCCAAATTTCACAAACCTACTTCATACAATAACTGAGATATTCCGTAGGCAATACTTCCGTAGCCACCCGGTATCACTTTACGGCTCCTTCTCTCAATCTCAGCTACTAAAGTCGGACTGGTATAAGTAACCAACAATATGATCAGTTTTTCAGAATCAAACATCATTATGAATACTGCCGTGCGTTTAAATTGAGATAAAAAAGGAACGATTTCACCTCATTCCAAATAACTAGAATCGGATTTAATGTCTTAGATTGTTGGCCTCTTGAAAATAAAGAATTCAAATTATTTGAGAATTATAAAATGTTGGAAAGCTCCGGTTGGTAGATGATTATGGTTTGAGAAAAAAAAACAAGATATTCTCACTTTTCATTTCGTTGAAGTTTGAACTCACCGTTTCCGAGTCAACAATTATCTACGTTTGCAAAAAACTGTGTGATTGTGCCTGTTGTTTCGAAACCCAACATAGAGATTATATGAAAATTCACATATGGCGATTTGAAACAAAAAAAAAACAATATTATTAGATTTCTTCTCCTGTGAAGAAATTCCTGATATGGATTAATGAAGAATCGACCCATTTTTATTTCAATAAAAACAAACGAAACTGTCGAAAATTATATTCGTCTCCGAAGAACTGAACATATGGATCAGTCCAAAAGACCCCGCAACATTTATATTGCAATCTTGTCTTTGGTAAATTGTAGTGAATATATTGGAATACATAGATTGAATCATGCTGAACAAGAAATGTCCTTCGGTCCAAGGCCCGTTGAACTCATTATCAGAACTATTGAAAAGTTATAAGCTCTTGAAAACGAGATAACCTTTACCAGAACAGCAGATTTTGAATAGGGGCTTTGTACCTATAGGTTATGAATGTAAGTGCGTGAGTGTAAAGATTGTTCACCATAATAAATCTGATTTCTGTTCAATGGTTGAGTACCTTTTTTGCTGATTGTAGTTCCGGACTAAACAAATTGAGGCAGCACAAAAAAACCACACAGTAGTGTAATGCAGAAATATATGTATTCAGTATTAGCATATAGTATTGGGTCACAGAGACGTGAAGGCCATCAAGTTGATGAAGAGATATATTTTGGCTGATGGATGAAGATTTGGTCGAATTAGAGTGGACGGACATCCTGACCTCCATCAGAAGGACGGGAAGGTTCGAAAAGGACAACTGAAAGAGGGATGTGTAGATATGTGGAGAGCAGGGGTTAGCGAAAGGGGCCCATGGGGACATATACTTGCCTGGCTACAGCCTCCCCACAATACTACTACTACTACTTGGCTGATGGATAAGAGACATACGAAGCTTGTCTCCAACGAAAGTTCTCCCATCTACCATTTCCATAGAAGAATGGTTTCATCTGAAGCTGCACTAGACGTCATAAATGTTTGCGGGCCGATGCAAACTATAACACACAGTGGTAATAGATTTTTCACGAAGTTTGTAGATGATTTCACTGAGTTCACCACTGTGTATCTACAAATGAGTAAAGAAGAGATATTCAACAAATTTCAAGAGTTTTTTGCATTCATTGAGACAAAGTTTGGCCACAAACCCAAGGAACTCTGTTTAGATCGAAGAGAATACCGATCTGAACAGATGGTGAAGTATTCGAAGCAAGAAGGTATTCAGTATCACTATATAACGAGTTCTAGCCCCCAGCAGAACGGTGTGACAGAGAGTAAAAATAGATCGCTCTATGTTTATCGATTAATGCAGGTCTTCTAAAACTTTGAGGTGGAGCAGTGATGAATGCCAATTATATACAGAATACTTCTACGAAGCTAGAAATGACGAAATGGGGAAATAATCAAATTTATGGAAACTCATCAGCTATTTTTCATTGGTTATGATGAGCATATCAAAGGATTCCACTTGGTAGATAGGACTACTATAAAATTATGCATTGACAGAGATGTTAGATTTTCGAAGAATTAATCGATGTTCATAGCCCTGATTATTCTCGGCGAAGTGTCACTGAAGAAGGAAATTTGATGAGTCATTAAGAAGAGGAAGATGATTTGCAGATTGCGAATTGACAGCCAGAGTTTACTGCAGAAGGAGCTAACGCATTGAGTGCATAAAAACGACCAACAAAAGGGACCCTATATACCGGAGAGGTTTTTCGAAAATACTGATGTCAAAGTCGTTGGAGAAATTTGATCAATCGATTGAATTATATTGTGCAAGAACAAAGCAGAGTGGAAAAATGGATGCAAAACAGTATATGGAATGAAATCAATTCAGAAGAACAAGTTACGCATTTCAAGGCTCGCCTTGTACTTCAGGGTTCCTCTCAGAAATATGGAACTAACTATGATCAAGTTATTTTCCCAGTAGTGGGATAAACTATAAGGATTTTTCTATCAATTGCTGGTGAGCAGAATCTGATAGTTCATTATCTAGACGTGCAGACAGCATTTTTAAAATGGAGAGTTGATGGGGATCATCTACATGAAACAACCACCTGGATACGTGACACAAGCAATATAAAATATGGTATGTCTATTTAAAAAAAGTTTGTACAGGCATTGTCGTTCTAGATGACAACCTAGTTAGGTAGTTAGTAGGCAGGAGCTATCCTCCTTGCACTAGGTCGCCTACTAGGTTCTCATTTAGATCGACAATGGTACAGGACATTGAACAAAACTTCTGACACATTTCTGAAATCTAGAGGATTCCGGCAGAATGAAGCCGATAAATGTTTCGATTCCAAATCTAGGGATGACGAAGTGGTATTTCAATTAGTCTTCGTTGAACGATAAGCATTCAGAAGTAGTCAAAACAAAATTACAAAAACGCTTGACGTCGAAATATTAGAATATGCCTATGAGAATTAGCATATTATTTGAACGAATTACATCAATAACATATTTTCTGACAAGAGATTACAAGATGCCAAATCTTCAAATATTCCTATAGAACCCAGCTATAGCCCGAGCTATAGCCAACCAGAAATTGAAAGTGTTATACTAAATAATGAAAAATATCAAGAGATGATTGGTAGTTCTTATTCCGATGAATTCTAGATCAGATATTGCTGCAAGAGAAGTGAGTTAACCAAGCATTGAGGATTACACACAGAAGATCATTGAATTATCCGAAAGGCACGAACAAATTGAAGGTGTTTCTATAAAAAGTACAGGAATGAGGATACTGGTTTTTATAGCTATTCTGATGGAATTTGGACAGAAAATAGGCTGAAAATAGTGGTTATCTACTCAAACTAAATGGAGAAGATATAAGTTGGTCTTGTAGAAGGCAAAACTGCGTATCACTCTCTTCAAATGAGTCAGAATTCATAGCTGTTTCATAATTATACATCAATACATCCACAATGAGGAGTTGAGTCCAACCCACTGCAGTTTTCAATGCAAGGTTCATAAGCAGAAAGTACCCATGTGGGTATCAGAATGATAGGAGGTGATCACCGACCTCAACACTCCTGGCCACCCGATGATAATTCTGATCCGATAATATTTCTGTAGGTACAAACCAGTAAAGGGTACTCGATTATTCAACAAAAATCAGATTTATTATGCTGAACAGTGTTTACACTTATACTCACATTCATAACTTATGTCTTATAGGTACAAGGCCCTTCTAGAATTTCTTCTGTTCTGGTAGAGGTTATCTCGTTTGGTTTCAAGAGCTTATAACTTCCTTCAATGGGCGTATCGTTATTTGGACCAGAGGTCATTCCTTGTCCATAAAGATGATTATTGATTGGAAATATATATGGGTCCTCTTCGACATTTTTCTGGATCGATTACTTTTCTAGATGCCGATAGAGTGTCGAAGATTACTTGAGAGCCCGTTGAAAGACATCTTGGTATAAAATTTTGAAAAATCTGAAACATTTTTAAATTTTTCTCTCAAATCCTATTTGGAAATATCTCCCGAAATGGCATTCAGGCGCCATTTTGAAACACACAAACCTTTTATCGTAATAAAAATGGAGCATTCGAACTACCATTTTGACAGAAGAAATTGAACGAAAATTTTATCAATCGTTCGAAAGTTGACTAGGGAAGAAAGGAGATACTCTATGGACACAGTGTATACTAGTTTGATTTTTTTAGGCTCCAAATGTGGTAGAATACTTGCAGCATGTTGGACATAATATAACGTTCAATGCAGCAGATGGCTTCGCGTCGATAACTGCTATTAGTCGAGATGCAAGGCTAGGTGTGACTGGAGCAGCAGACAGAAGAAGATTAGGAGACGTTGCTTATATTTGATGCATTAGATTAGATTTATAGTTAGTTGATATCAAATATTGAATACTTGAATATAAAATAAACTGTTTTTCACCATCAACGTCTCAGTTTTGCTATATTCGATACATTTATACAAAACCTACAGATTTCTGTATCAACAACAGAGAGCGAAAAAGAGACTGAGTGAGCCTGAGACCAAAATAGGCTAATTTCAATCAACTCGACTCTTTGAAAAATGAACTTTTGAGCAGTGAAGAAACTATGGAATTTGATTAGTTCTGTTCTGCACATTCGAGAATCGTCGATGGAAATAAATAGGAAATTTCACTTTGAAGTAACTGAGTTGAATATCCGAGAGGTACTCGTCATACCTCTTCAGTTACTATCGGGAACATAATGGCTCCAAATAATAAAACAGTGCGAAAAGTTCTTTCCCACCCTAGTCCTGGATTTTTTTTCCACACTAGTGCGATAAAATCAATGATATATATGATATTATTGCAGTAAGTAAGTGGTCGGTGATGGAATATGAAATTTTGAGCTTGTATGTTGCAGTACCTATTGAGTATGTTTTATAATAATAATTATATGTAATTTTATTGACTATTTCAACAAGACAGAATAAGAGTCCAAAAACTATCAATAAGAACATAAGGAAAGGTCAATTAAAAATCATCCATCAAATTGTGATCATGCGATACAGATGCGTTATTTTGAACGGAGTCTTGAGGAAGGTGTGAGAAGCAATATACGCGTTTTATTGAATGGTACAAAAGTGTGTGTTTTAAAAGTGTTTTTAACCGCCAGCTTAGTTGCAAAGCAACCCTCGAAAGTCAGAGACTTGTGTGAGTTAAGAAGACGGGGACCTTAGCTTTTTAAGTGTCATCCGAAGCACTACTCGGCTGGTAACCGTGGACAGTCCAAAGGATTGATATCTAGGTACCAAGAATGTTGGGTTGGCCACCTATCTCCTCCCGCCCAACGAAACTACCGAAAATTAATTCAGTGCTCGCGCCGGGGATCGAACCCGGACCGCCTGGGCAACAGCCAGCGACTCTACGCTCACGGCCACCAGCCCAGCTGACAAAAATAAAAACATTGAAACACCAAATGAAGAGGAAGTATTTTTGGTTCATTTCCTAGAAATATCTATTGTTATTTACCCTGAGAATGATGGAAGTAAGATATGGTGTGCTCACTGATGCGCTTTTGTTTCAGAAATTTCACCCGACCTCTCGAGAACAGTGAGAGCAATGGTTCCGTCAATCTTCTAATAGATGGCGACTTTGCACAATTATAATATCTGTCAGTTTTGAGATTGTCGCAGGTTTTTCGAATTCAGAGTTGAATAATCCTACTGGTACATACGTTCCGCGTACCTAAAATGCCATTTGCCATTTTATTTTCACTCGTCACAGCAGCAATAGCAGCACCACCATCTAGCGGAAAAATGTAGAATCAACGTCTCGCTCGTTGTGGACGTAGAGAAATCATAGTAGGCGGTCGAGTGATTTTTCTGAAATTTTCAATAGGTATGTAATAATGGCCGAATTCGCGCACCATATCTTACTCCCATCAATATGCCGACCATACTAAAATTATTCGATACAAATTAAATTTCTCTGCCTATCAATATTTTGTTGAAGTTTAGTATTGAGTCCTATTTATCCTCTAGGATTGTTTGCTTATTCTCTTTCGTGATTCATGGATGAATTATTACGGAACCTATCTATTGTTATTCACCCTGAGGTACCCCTCGATATCCACGATATTTCCACATACCTACAATGAAAGAGTTCATGTAGTTGATGTTTGGTTAAGTAATGAAGAAATGGAATTTTCAACCGACGCTACCCACCCTGAATAAATTATTTCGCTCCCCGATGTGACATTGTCATGTTTCATTTCGAGCTTATTATCTTTTGGCTTTTTTCTTTGAATAAAATATGTCTCGCCATTACGGTCGAGAACGTGGTGAGAAAAGGGGCCATGTAAATGAAGCAGTAAAGAGGTATTATGCATTAATCAAAAGAAGTTATTTCTCTCTTTTAAGAATTACTTCTGGGGAAGATGAAACGAAGTAGACAATAACGTGAAATGCGGTCGAAATACGTGACTAGATCTCCACTGTTTGCTTTCTGCTAGGAAACGTTTTCAATTGTCGAGATTCTCTAATAGAAAATAATTGAAAACCTTGAGATGGAAAAAGCCGTCCCTAATTGGAATTTATAGGTTTGTTCATCTCCTTCGTAATATGATTGAGAAAAGAAATTAGGAAGGTATATTCTGTTTGTTGTGTAAGTTACCTATTTCTTTCATTCTTGAGATAATTGTGCTTTAGGCCATCTATCTCTCCTTCCAAATAGAAGCTCTGACGATACTTGCTTGAAATTCAACAGAAATCAATTTGATGCTTCCTCATCAAGACTCAAGAGGAAGTTTTGAGTGGTTATAGTTGAAGTATCAGAAAATATGTGTGGTAAGCGGAATACCAAACAAGTTATTAATTTCATGATAGTAATGAAAATAGGTACGGATTTATTGAATTGCACGACTGTAATGCTGAAGGTAATATATTTGTTTTTTTTCCAAGTAGCAGGGAAAGTGGCTTCCCTCTGACACTTAAAAGGCAGCAAAAGTTGGTTGTTATGCAATGATCCTAGTTATTTCAATGAAATTGTTGATCAAAATTGACACTGACATTGGGTGAACCCAAAATGATGGAGTTTTCGATGAAAAATTTACACAAAATTGGTTGTTTTACGTTTGGAAAAAAATTGTATGTTTCACTCCATGGCTGAATTCCTATATACAATTCAATCATCTTGTTCAATGAGTTTCATCGCATCTCTTGAATTTTTCTCATTCTTGCGTTGTCAGAAGACTATCTAAGCTGTACAAATGTCACGAATTGGAGGGTCTCAGCGTCGAGAAATTGAAAAATGCTCCAGCAATAACTTGATTCACGCATTCATTGAATTGTCCTCAATACATTCAAGTATTTGTTTGGGTCCTACACAGACAAAAAAGATCTCTCCAATCAAACTAATAAGAATGTTTCATCTGAATTGAACAATTTACACTTGACTCGAATCAATTGGTTTGCTTGCTTCATTTCTGGAAATCTATTGATACGAATTGGCTCAACATAAGCACTACCAAGAAAACCTCGATTACTATAGTGACATGAATTTAAATTCATATTGGTTCAGGGAAATTTCTGCTTGTCTGAAATGCCTGCAGTGACGTTTACAGCATACAGCAGTGGCAGACAACTATTAACGCCTGCGCTCATTCGACTCATCGACTCTTCAGTTCAGTTGCGTCTTCTGGTCGCTATTTGCCATTGCGACTCAGATGAAAACAGCCGTACCTTTTCACAGCAGTGCGGCATTTCACATAATTCGAGGATCTGCGAGGGTTGAATACGTAAAGGATTTGATTTCGAACAAGAACGAAATCTGAACTTTGAATAGGTTTGTAACCTAGCTGTACTGAGGTGTTTTTCCATATTATTTCATCGAAAACTTGCCGAGTATCAATCATAACTCAAACCATAACTACACATCACTCCCAATGAATGGTCATGTTTGTATAACCTGCAAAACATATTCGTTCAGCAGATACGATATGATTGACCAGTCGCATTCATTGGATAAACGCCCTAATAGACATAGGTAGGTTTTTGTGATCAAACCAATAATGATAATAAACCTGTATATTATTAAGTATGAATACTTATGCCCCCTTCCTTCGTGTTTTTACATACCTTCCTTACATCTTTCATACTTGCTCTTTTGTGGAACGCAGAATTTCTTGTAACCAGAAAATATCTGATTGTCTTGAAATTTCATTTGTTTTCGACAATGCTTGATGGTTGTGTTGAATAAAAATGTAGTTTTTTCTGAAGCAAGTTCTATTGATATACGGTTTGTGATTCAACATTTTCGAACTTATGATTTCTCTCTTTCCTCTAGGTTTTCTAGGTTGAACATTCTAGCACAATGATATTTCGAAAAAAAAGACAAGGACAGCAAATCACAAAAATTTAGGGAAATGAACATCCGACCTCCTAGATGAACCTACAGACAGTGTCTGATGCTTCTACTATTATGTAAATACCTGTTCTCATTTATATTATATATTTTTTCATTTTTGCTATGTCTTAAGTGGATGACTGAGTTTTTATAATGAAGCCTCTTATTGTTCACTAACTGAAAAGAATCATTTTATACTATTAATACTCTGATAGTAAGCTGTATTTTTATTTTTTTCGAAATGATAATCTCTTGTTACGAGAAAATAAGGATCTTCTGGAAAAACCTCTCATCATAGTGAGAAATAATCTATTTGTAACATGCTCGGAACTTCTTGATTCAAGAACAAAATTATTCTGCTATGATGGGAGTGTCACGATTTCAGGACTCGCCTTCTCAAGTGTCAGGAACTCAGCTGGTACTTCCTATATGTGTCAGGACCACGAGGCCTTTCATCCTGGTTGCGTGATCTTAGGGGGTTATGCTTAGCAGCGAGAGGGTGACCTAATTACTACACACCGTAGCTCGATTGTAGCAAGGAATGAGTGTACTTCTTGTTGTTGAATAAAAATTGATATTTATTAGTGATAAAAACAGTGGACATAGTGAGCAAGTAAAACACAAAAAGGGTTAAAAGTTACCAAAAGATATCAAGTGACGTGAATAAACTAGAGTGACTCTGTGCCTGCACTTTCCAGTAACTCCCTACATCTCTGGATCTAACTACCAAAGGGGTTGAAGATAATTACGGGGGCCGCACGAGGTAAGAAAAACACTTTTACATAAAATAGGTACTCACATTGCCAATACCATTGCCGCTCTGGTGGACCAGGAGTTGTGCCTCTCCATAGCTCTAGGGTTGTTCTTGAGACTGCTACCAGGGTGAAAAAAACTACCGGCGCGGATGACCGTACTCGGAAAGGTATAGACAAGCTATCGATTCACGTACTCTTTGTTCTGTCCCGTAAAATCAATAATGTTTTATAGTCGATACTTGCCGAGTTAGCAGAATCAGCAATAATCGTATCGATTGATTTCATTACCTCATAGGTGAACTTTCG